ATAAATCTAATTTAAAAATTTATTTACTTTTAAATAATTAAATAACTATAATTAAAAAATATTTACTTTTAAAGAATTATTCAATTTTATCAAGAACTCTGGTGGATTTTTAAGGGAGATGAGATTATTAACTTGCTAGAGTTCTTGGGTATTAGTTTATCTTTGCTCAAGTTTGTTGCTTTTTATTGTATTTAAAAAAAAAAGAAAAAGCTTTCTTTCGAATAATGTGTTTTTAATTTGTTAGTAACTATCAAATACAACGTGCGAGATATATTTAGAAAAAATATAGGAGATTTAATTATGGACAACATAGTATTTTTAAATTTACATTTTGATATGGTCCTTCTAAGTAATTATTATTTGAAGATGCACTCTAATAAATATTATTTTCTTTAGGTCTTTCATTATGATTTTCAAGCTGATACAATATTTTCCATTTCTTCAATATTATTTATCCATTTAATTCACGGTTGCCAAGCTATTAGGGGATGCTATCATGTAACCTAACCATAACTAATATTTGTTTAATTATGTATGCGTTGCCTTCCCAGAGCAGCGATCATGCTTCCAGAATTTAATTCACGGTTCTTTAGGGTTCTTTCCGCAGAAAGTTTTTGGACAAGGGAAATTTCTTATATGATACATAAGATGGTTTAGTTTGTAAATTGTGATATACAAATTGCTTCACATCCATCTAGTTCTTGATATGAGTTTCGATACATCGGTTGTGGGTGCCCCAATTGTATATCATAATTTAATTAGTAGTTTTTATTCCTTTAATTTTCCTTTTTCCTTTTTTTATTTCAGAAAAAACTTCACTTTATGTAAATTATTTTTTTTTCTTACTATAAAGCATAAACTTTTTTTCTCATATATACTGAAAGGTGATATTTGGTATAGGAGTGAAAAAAGGGAGCTCTCTCAACTTGATAAAATATATTTTCTTATTACTTAATGATTTTCTATCTAGGGAGAATACCTCTATTCATACTAAACTTAGGTAGACAATGCAATTAAATTAGATGAAGCTTAACATTATACATAGAGATTATGGAGGGGTTATGGAACTGAAAGAGGGGCTTTAAGGAAGAATTATGAAATGGAGATTATGGAATTGGGGTTTTCAAGTGCATATCCTCAATCCTCCCTGGACTAGACAGAATTCACTCTCCTTGGTTCAAGCTCACTGTTATCGTTGTCATCATTAAAATATGGAAATTTGAAATAGAATGTCCTCTTGTTTCTCTATGCATAGAATTGACCTTTGTCAAGTGTCTCAATTCTTTGATATCAACTTCATGGATAGTTTTGCATGCTAAACTACAATGTAAGAAAATTGGGGTAGAAGTATAATTCTAGAAGCTTAAGGGAAAAAATGTATTTTTCAAAAATGTGGGGGTCAATTGCTTTATTTTGATAAATTATATTATTAGGTTGCTCATGTGGTAAGAGTGATATGTAATAAATTCTTGATAGGCTAACGTGTTGCTAACTGGTCAATTTAGGATAACATTGATGCTTTCATCTTCAACCTTTAAATAGTGCAACAGCAGCACGTGAATCTCTAGTAATTATGGTGTGTGTGACATCTAGTAGGGCTAATGAGACTTAATAGTTTTAGGTTTTCTAACATCCTAAACAAGATGGTGGCTTGGTTCTACTAAAAAAAGTAGGAAATTATGGATTCAAAGGTGTCAATGGTGAAACTACTCCAAAGACCCTTATAACTTGAATGCTCAGGCTAATTTGAAGATGATTCTCTTCCAGCCTCTCATCACTAGTGTCTTAAACCTTGCAATAATACCAATTTGGCTTTGATACCAAATTGTGTAGGGGCCAAGAGGGAGAAGAGGAAACACTCTCACTTTCATTAAAAATTTATAAGACTTGTTTGGTAATATGTTTTAAGAATAATTTTTTATTTTCTAAAATAAAAAATAAAAAAACTTGTTTGATAACGTCTTTTTAAAAAGTTTTTTTAGAGAAAAATAAAATATTATTTTAGAGAATAAAAAAATAAAAACATTTTTTAGGTGTTCTGAAGTTATTATTTTGAAGAATAAGAGAGAATAAGAAAAACAATTATTTTTATTATTATTTTTTGTTTTCACAATATATTTTACAAAACATCAATTCTCAGAATAGTAAAATCAAAACAGTTTCAAACAGGCCCATATTATTCTTGATTATATATGAATTACAAAAACAATGACAAGTTCTATTTATGTTAATTCATAAAAGTCATCTTTTGGACAATGCATTTAAAACTAATTAAAATGGGTTACAGTAAAAATTATGAAGATGCTATGGAATTGAAGGATGGATTATGGAATTTAAAGAGGAGTTATGAAATGTAGAATTCAATTATATTTCAAATAATCTTTGAATTTTTGGACATTTTGAGCATGATGATGAAGTTTGTATAATTTGAAATTGGCCAAATGCCGGTGTTTGATGGAGGTAATGGCAAAACTACCCTCTACAACCTCACCTTTTTAGGTTAAACTCAGACCTCCTCATCTCTTACTCACTCCTCATTAGACTTGGAACCCAACTCTAATATCAAAAGGATACTTAACAAAATAGATTTTTTCTATTACACAATGATTTTCCATAAAATAGGGTACTTGTATTTATACTAAGCTAGATGGGAATTAACATTATGGAAGAGTTACTATTAAATTTTGTTTATATATATATATATATTAGGTTTTTCTTTCTCTATTTAAATAGCTTAAGAGAATTTGATAGGACTTACCTTAAGATTATATATTTTCAATTCATTTTTTAATCAATCAATATAATACTTTTTTAATACATTCTATTATTTCTTCTATGTAGAGTCGGGAATAAGGGACGGGCTCAGAGGCCTTACTTAAATAAGTGTTCGAGTTTTAAAAATAATTTTTTTAAAGTAATCAGGCTTTAAGGGCTTGGCCTTAATAAGCCCTATAAATAAGGGCTTGGGCTCGAGCGGCCCTTCAAATCCTATTATATTATTTTTTTTGGTGAAACACTTGTTTGAAACTAATGGCCTGCTCACTTGATCCTATACACATTATATTATTATTAATTTTAATTTATTCTAAAATTAATTTAATATAATTTAATAAATATCAGTGTATAGAATAAAATTTTTGATATTTTTTTATTTTTTTTATAATTATTATATTTTGTGTATTTATCAAAAATGAACTTTTTTAACTAAGATTTAAATTTTATTACTAGACTTCTAAATGTGTGTTGTTTAATTTTTAAAAAATTATGAAATTTTGATTTTTTAATTTCTAAATATTTTAATTAATTTATAATGTTTAATTTATTTTTTTATTTTTTTAAAAAGGGCTTGCGGGCTCTTTTTGATCCCTTGCATAGGAGCTGAGCTTAAGAAATGAGGTTAAAAATGGAGAACCGAGTTTTAGGGCTTAGGCCCTTAAGGGCTGAACCCATAAGGACCAGACTCATAAGGGTCGGGCCCGCTCGTATTCTCAGCTCTACTCCTATGCTAGTTTTTTTTGTCCTGTCATTTTTCTTCTCTTTGTTTTTTTTTTTGCTTGTCAAATCAAATGGCTCTGTTAATTTAGGTGTATATTAGGTTTCCCTTTCTATCAAAATATACATTAGCTTTCTTCTTTCTATATTATCCTCTTTCAATTATTTTTTTTAAAATTATTTATTTAGATGGTTTGTTACCTTCCGTGTTTTTACCTTCAGTGTTTTGAAGGTGTTTTGAATAATTTTTATTTTCTACCTATTGTCATTGAATTATTTCTATATGTATTACCTTTTTACAAACCTAGGAGCAAATAAGATTAAGTTTTTATATACTTAACTTTATATTGATCCTTATATATTATTTATATTTATTTTATAATAAATTATTGTTATTAATGTTATCAGTATATTAAATTTACTTAGTTTGATTTGATTGGAAAAAAATATAATAAGTATATAAGATTGGAGAAGAAGAGGCCCCTCTTCCCCTTTGTTTTGAAAATATTTTTAAATGACTCTCATTTTTTAATTTCAAGTAGTATTGTTTTTCCTACAGATTTGTCTTCTTTTAATGACAATATTCTAAGTCAAATCTTCTAATTTTTTTTTATTTCTTCATTAATTAAATGAATTTCAATCAAATAACATAAATTTTATTATATTCTATGTTATTTTAGTATTAAATTTTGTTGATATATGTGTGTGTTATATATATTAGTTTTTTTTCTTTTTTCTATCAGACAGCTTAAGACAATTTGATAGGACTTACCTTAAGACAACGTTAGACTTTCTCAATACATTCTAATGTTTCTTCTACTAGTTTTTTTTTTTAATTTTTTTTATCCTCTCGCCTTTCTTCTCTCTGTTTTTTTATCCCAAATTAAATGACTCTAATACCATACTAAAATTTGTTGATTTAGATATATAGTAGGTTTCTCTTTCTATCAAAATAGCTTATATATCTTCAATCCATTCTTTAGATAATGGATGTGGTACTTTTCAATACATTTTAATAGTTAAATATACATTATAAAGGGATTATAGGAATTGGTGTTTTCAAGTGGATCCGTACCAATTTTTTTCTAATTCTTTTATTTTTCATTTTTCTCAATATTATTTATTTTAAATGTTTGACTGCCTTCATCGTTTTGAAGGTGTTTGAGTTAATCTTTTTTTTTTCCTACCAAGTTTCCACATATGTCATTAAAATTTATATATATATATATATATATTACCTTTTTACGAACCTAGAAGCAAATGTTCATAACCTCATCAATATCGTAGGCAATGAGGTCAACATTGAACCAATGAGTCAATGCTTCTATAGTGTGGAAAATCCCATCAGAAAACTGAAACTATAAACCAGGGGAAAAATTAAAAAGTTTCTGGAAATGCATTGGAGATACAACTATAAGTTTTTTTTTTTTTTTTTTTTGGGTAAGCAAGTGACGACTCAACTTTTGAGACGTCTGTGCCCAAATGTTTTCTTGTTAGGGATCATGTGTTCAAGAACACAAGTGTGTCGGTATTGAACTGATATCGTTCAACGTTGATGCAGATGCTTTATTTTCAGGACTCTTCAGGTATTGGTAAAACTCAAACTCATCAAAAAAGCCATCAGTGTAGGAAAGGCCTTGATCAAACTGATCAGGATGATCAGGATTACCACCAAAAAGTGTTGTTGCTACTTCTTGCTTGACCATTCCATCATCACCTGAAGCCAGGTTTTGATCTACCTGTTGCTGCTGCATATTGCCTCCCATGGGAATTAGATCTAGAAGCCAGGTTTGAATTCAGGTGTTGTTGCAGCATATCTCCTCCGGAAGCTAGATTTTGATCTACCTGTTGCTGCTGCATAGTGCCTCCATTGGAATTAGAAGCCAGGCTTGAGTTTAGGTGTTGCTGCAGCATGTTGCTTCCATTGGAATTAGAACATGGAGCCACGTTTGAGTTTAGGTTTTGCTGCAACATATCTCCTCCAGAAGCCAGCTGGTTTGAGTTTAGCTGTTGTTGCAGCATGTCTCCTCCTGAAGACAGGTTTTGATGTACATATTGCGGCTGCATATTTCCTCCATTGAAATTAGAAGACACGTGTTGTGGCTGCATGTTGCCTACAAAGGAAGGTAAAGCAAGGTTTTCCTCTTGCTGCTGCAGATTACCTCCATGGGAATTAGGACATGAAACAAGTTTGGGTTTGGGTTTAGGCACTGTTGTTGCGTCATATGGCCTCCAAAGGAGAAAAAGCTAGGTATTCGTATTTGTTGTTGCTGCTGAAGCTGCCTTGCAAGAGATGCAGGTGATGGAAGGCCTGCATATTAATTATGATTCCATAAAGAATTATGATTAGGATTAAATAAACTAAAATATCCAATGAAAGTTTAAATAAACTAAAAATATGTGAATTCATACATAATCTTACCAAAGCTGAAGTTTTGCCCAGGTGGTTGCATTTGCATTTGGTGGGCTTGGGAGAAGAAGGCAAGATCTTGACTTGGTATAAGATTCACGGAAGGATATAGAAGGTGAGGAGGATTATTCATGGAAGGTTCTAGAAGGTGGGGGTTCACGGGTTGATGAACAACTGACAGAGGTTGAGCAGGAATACTATCGGGGTTCACGGGGATGGCCTTGCCATGTTGATTTAGACGACGCTGGAGCTCTTCCATCTCTTCTCCCTCTCTCTCTTTTCTGTTGATTCTATATTTCTGAGGTATAGCCATATACAACACCCCCATTATTAGTATTTAGTATTAGTATTAGTGTTATTATTAAATACGGTATATCAAATGTTAAAAAACAACATTAATAATAATTCTGGTCTATTAGTGTCTGGCAACCTGTAAGTGACTCGCAACATTTTCTCTCGTCAGGAAAGGCACGTCCATCGATTCAAGAATCTGTTTTGGCACCGCCTCTAATGTACAAATAAAGTTTGTTAAAAAGCAATAACATATAGTAGCAACAACGTGAACTTTATTTCATTTAATTTGGCTGCATGGATCACTTGATGTACCAAAAACAATAACATTTACTTGTCATATGAGATATAAGAAGAAATAAATTATGAAGTTATGATTTAACTTAGTATTAACAAAAATATAAGAAATAAAAAAAAATTAAAACTAAAGGGAACTGGTGTTTATGTTCATCTATATGTGCGTGTGCCCTTTCTGGAGGAAATGTAGAGAGTATCACTTTTGCAAAATAAGGTAAGTCATTTAATAATTTTCTTAATTATGTAAAATATTAATATATTATATATATATATATAATGACTAAAATACCCTCATTTAACTGTATGTACAAGAGAGAATAAGATGATATAGAATTTTTTTTTTTTTTAAATACAGTTGACCGCGACCATGTCATATGAACTCACTTGGGTAATCAGCAGCAATAACTCCAACTCTCCCAAGACAACGAAATTTCTTGAAATTAGTATGATTACTATTCCTTTTTTATGTTATTGACAAGAGAGAACTTATCATCATTATCTAAAAATAAACAAATTCTATTCTATTCAACCAAGAATCAAAGAATATTGAGTTATATGTTAGCAGAAGTCAGTGAATACAATGAATGAATAATAAAAATAAAGAGAAGGAACGAGATGCATACTATCATAGCCAAGCTGTTCCACCACTCCTACAAACTTTTCATGAAGCTCAGCGGTCCAGACGACCCGTCGTTTTCTCTGAGAAAGTACTCCATGATCCACAAACTCACTGTCGTTTCCTGCTTTGGGTCCCAGCCTATTATCTATGGAACAAGGAACAAGAGAAGAATTACAAGAAACCTGATCCTGATTTCGCTGACGATTATGTCGTACTAAATTATTCTGCTGATGATGTTCGTCATCCACGTCACTATTGACGTACTCATCAGTCTCCGTCGTCTCAGGCAGTTCTCTTCTCCGACAAACATGCTGCCATAGATTTCTCAGCTCGCACTCACTCACCGGCTTCCTCAACACATAACACGCACCGTATCTGAATGCTCTCGCCATACCACTTACTCTTTCACACCCAGAAATTACTGCAAAATCATATAATAATATCAATGCACAATCTCTTGATACACACACACACAAAGCAGCGCTTCATTAGCTTACCAACGTGCGGAATACTTGTGGTTGAGTGTTGGTCCCTGAGGAAGTTGTAGACATCCATGTGTTCTAACGACTCATCGCTGAGAACCAAGTCATAAGATCCGTGCTTGTGATCTCGTAAGAGTGCTAAGGCAACAGGACCACTGGAAAACCTAGCGACATGATAATAAGGTTGTACAAGGTTTCTCTGAATTAAACTTCCGATGTCGTTATCAGTGCCAACATAGAGGATCTTCAATCCATGAGGAAAATATTGAAAAAAATCTCGGGGAAGAAGATGAAGTTGATTGGCTCTGGGTTGCTGCATATTGTTATTCAATCTAACCTAAAAGGCTAAATCTACTGAAGCGATCAAATCGTAGGATGGGACAGGAAAAAAAAATCATATATATATAAGAAACAGAATGCCTGGAGGGAATATAGGTAGCTGACTAGCGAGTTACCCTCCCCCTGTTTTTCCTAATGATTTATTTAATTTATCATTTATAATTTAAAATTCAAATGCAAAATCGGTTGAGATAACTGTTCAGGAGGAAAAAAAAATAATATTCCGGAACGAAATTGAATTTTGAATTATTCTGGTCTGTTTTATTTTGATAAATACATGTTATTATTTTTTGTTAGTATCGTACGAAGAGATAGAGAAAATCTTTTTGTTTGATCTAAAATCCTACCCTAATACCACACAAATTCAAGAACGAGCTGATATGGAATTCCTTTTTCCTTTTCTTTATTTTTATTATTCAACATTTGTAATTCATACAAGGGCCCCACAATCTAGTTGAAATGAATAGATGTGATCATCAATTAGCATCTCTTATCTAAATCTGATGGCCAAGATTATATGTGCGGATAATGGGAAAATCCAGGACTATCTTTGAAGAGTTTGTACATCTTAACTCAGTTATCGCTACTGATATATTAATTTAGATACTTCCATAAGTTAAAATATAATTATAACTAAATAGAATAAATATATTTTTATCCAATCAAATCAAGATAAATATATTTTAATATAATAATAATAATAATAATATTAACAAGAGTTTATTATAAAATAAATAATATCGACACATTTTGATTTAATTGAAAATAAGCCTATTAAGTATATAAGGGTAAGTGTATAAATTTTTTCGTTTTCAAAATGTTCTTAAATGATTTTCATTTTTGAATTTCAAGACAGTATTAATTTTTCTACGAAATTGCCAAACAATCGCTGTAAAAAAAATCAAAAATATGGACAAAAATTGTCAAAAATAATAGTGACTAAATTATACCTCCTCCACTTATTTTTATTTTTCATTTAAAGTTTTAGCATACAGGTTTAAGAATACGACAAATATATGATAACTCCCCTCAACCTTTTTAATACCTCCTTAATTCTTAGCAATAAACATTGCTTTAGGCTTTGAAAGAAATGGAGGTGAGAACCTTCTAGAATATGCTTAGGGTTGAATGTTGAGATATAATCTTATTTATAAGACAGAGAGAGAAGATTAATTTTAATCATATTCATAAGGTACTTCACTATTTTATTTGTTATTCTTTACATTCATTCCCTTATTAAAAATAGTTTTTTTTATCCTTATTAAAGGATAGATGTGAAAACTTATTAAATTTTCAGATAAACTTAATAAGGTTTAATTTTTTTTTGATATTGATGAAACATGCTAGAAGTGATTTATAAATAAAATTAGATGAAATAATTAACAATATATGATAGGAATGAACGTCCAAAATGTGGTTGAATGAAGGCGAATATTGTGGCATTAATATGGAAGCAAGATGGGTGGAAGAATGCATGTTTTTTGGATTGTTTTCCCATTTGGAAAGAAACATTAATAGAAGATATAATTTGAACTTCATAGCTGGTTGAGAAACTACAAGAAAACGGTGTACACGTGTATGTTGAGTTACTATTAATTAACAAGACCATACATATATATTATAGATTTTTAAATTGTCTATAGTTTCCGTCAGATCAGACAAATTTAAAGACCGTACAAAGAGATGGAGAAAACTTTGTTGTCTGACATAACTTAAGGACCACTGTAGCATATTTATATTATTCAAGGACTTTGAGATTCTAAAATTTCATTATAGTACCATAATCCTTAGTTGAAATTAATTTTTTACGTAAAATAATCCAATTGTCTTTAAAATTTAAAATAATAAAAAAATCACCCTCATTGTCATGAGCTTCGGCCACCGGACCGCTACCTATAGGGGTTGCCAAAGCCCTTGCCAGTGGTGAGGTCATTGGGGGCCAACCACCTGAACTCCAACATTGGTGACAATTATTTTCAATAATTGGTAAGGTGATTGAAGGAGGGTTTGATCCCACAACCTCTTGGTCACCTAAAAAACTTGGTGGCTACTAAGGATTTGGATTCAGTAACTATTATACTAGTACAGGCACTAAATGTTTGTGTCATCTAAATTATTAAAATTTAGATCAATGGCTCTAAATTCATACTCTACTTGAAACAAGTGAATAAGTGAGTTTATGAAAATCATTGATATATATTTTAACAATTTAAATGGTTCAGGCACTCAATGTCTACAATCACAGAATCTTCTGGCCACCAAGCCTATTTAATCATATATAGCAAAAAAAAAAAAAGTAGTAGCCCAAGCTTTTAATCCTAGCTTATGTAAGTATTAGTCCTTCATTAACAAGTATCCATTTGGATTTTAACAACTTATTTAAAATTAACAATAATCCATTTGAGTTTTAACAAATTAAAAAAACTAATAGAATGTACTTAGTCATGCAAGTGTTAGTACTTTATCAATAAGTATTTATTTGAGTTTTAAACAACATCCCATTTGAAATTGACAAAAATCAATTCGGGCTTTAATAAGTTAGAAAAACTAATAAGATGAGCTTAATTAGGCAAGTGTTAGTCTTTTATCAGTAAGTATCAATTTAGGTTTTGACAAAAATCCATTCAAGCCTTAACAAGTTAGAAAAATTGATAAGATGAGCTTAATTGTGTAAGTTTTAGTCATTCATTGATATACATACAATCAAGTTTTGACAACCTATTGGAAACTAACAATAATTCATTTGAACTTTAACAAATTAGAACAATGATAGCACATGTCTGGTGAAATAGTGTTTACCTTGCATAAATAACAAGCCACTTTGGTTTTCACAACAACCCATTCATGATTAACAAGTAGTTTGCTCCATTAAACCTATGTTGTCTGTTTTTCTCTCTTGTTAAAATTCAAATATATTATTGTTAATCACAAATGAGTCATTGCCAAAACATGAATTAATGACTTGTTGCAGGGTGAACACATTCCATTAGACTTATACTATTAGCTTTTTTAAAAGCTCAAATTAATTATTGTTAATTTTAAATAAGTTATTGTCAAAACTTAAATGGACACTTGTTGATAAAAGACTAACAAACTTGCACAATCAAGCTCACCCTATTAATTTTTCTAACTTGCTAAAGGTCAAATAAATTATTGTTAATTTCTAATGAGTTGTTGTTAAAAATTGAATAGATACTTGTGGATGAAAAACTAACATTTATAGAAGCTTGGATTAAAATCTTAGACTACTACATATATTTTTCTTGCAACATATAATTAAATGGATTTGATAGCTTGGTGGTCACCAATATTTTTAGGTGGCCAAGGAGCTATGAGATCAAACCCACTTAGTCACCTTTACCAATTATTTTAAACTTTAGGTACAATTTGATAATTTCAAGTAAAAAATTAATTTCAGCTAAGAATCAAGGGACTGCAATGAAATTTTTGAATCACATGGTCCTTGATTGATATAAACTTCCTAAAGTGGTCTTCGACTGATATTCTCTATAAAATCTATCCTTATTCCTTAGAGAAATTCAAGTACAATAAAAGTAATATGGAATTTGTTATTCCTTTTTTATTTTTTTTCTTTTCATTAGTTTGATATCTATTAATTAAATTGGGATGTTTTATACTTAAATAAAGATTAGCTTATAAAAGAATTAAAAATATTAGGTACGCTTATATTTATTAGATGAAATTACGAACTTAAAATAAATGGCGTTATTTACCATTTGTAATTAATACATGGGCCCTAATATCTAGTTGAAATAAACAATATTGATCATCATTTAACATCTCTAACCTAAATTTGATGACCAAGATTACATACAGAGATAAGGGGAAAATCTGAGGCTATATCTTGAGGAGTTTGTTTATGAGGAAAATATGATTGAGATTTGACAGCCCATTTTAGACAAGTAATTAAAATTCATTTTGGTCTCTATAGGGAGTGTTGTGGTACATACAAGTGGAATTGTTGTGTCTTAACAAGTAATTTTCTTAGCAACAATGAATAATAATATGCTGCAGCTACATCTATATATACACGCACCCTAGTGGACTATATTGTAGGTCACATAACTAATATAAGAGAAAATGAAAATAAAATTTTACTAAAGTATATAAATGACAATTAGATCTCTCAAAATGTTATAGTTCTTCTGAAATCCTTAAGTCCCTTTTTGACATTAATAGTTTTAAGTTAAATAACCAAATTGCTCCTTGTTAAAAAAAAGTCTAGTTATATTTTTCTAATCATAACTTTTCTTTAAATAATAATAATTTTTATTTTGTAAATTACAAAAGTTTGAACAAAAAATTACAATTTTTCATGTGAAATTTCTTTTATGAGTGATAAACAAGTTTTGAAATTAACCAATTTCAATAATAACTTTTATTTAAACAACACTATTACAAAAAATATATATTTCAAAGTTCTTATTTTTGACTTATGAGTGAGCTTTAGCCTGCACTCTCATATATAAAGGAATCCTTTTATGGGTGGTTGGAAGTGCTCTTGTAGGCCCCTCTCTCGAGAACATTTGGAGAGGCTTAGGGGATTGCTTTTTGAAGAAGTGATCCTATAGATGGACATACTAAAGTGCTTTTATGTAGAAGCACTCTGATATGTTCCCTAAACTAGAGCGTTTCTACATAAAGGTGCTTCAGCAATCTCAATTTTTTACAAAATTTTTAATATTACATGCTACATATAAATTTATGTACAATATTCTAAAATTGACATCATAAAGTGATAAAAAATATACTTTCATTTAAAATTAAAACAAACTATGTTTTTATGAATTTGGTAATACAATCTCAATCAACAACTCTAATAATAAAATTAGTGCAAATATTTTTATTCTAATCTTCTAAATATCACACATAAGAACAAACATATTATCCAAAATGAAAAAAAAAACCTTCTAAAATTCTGTTAATTTGCAAAAAATATACAAAATAAAATTTTAAATA